ACAGGACAGAGTTTAGGGCTGTTGTACATAGGGTCGCTATGAGTCGCAGGCAACTCGACGGCACATAGCAACAACAACAACACTTTGACCATGTTGCTAGAAGGGGCTGTTCCTTGGAATGGGACATCATGCTCAGAAAGTTGAAGGGTTGACAGAAGAGAGGAAGTCTCACAATGAGATGGATTGTTATAGTGACAGTAGCAGTGGGCTCAAGTATGTCAGAGATGCTGAGAACAGGGTTCAGATCTGTTGTTCATAGGGTTGCTATGAGTCATACTTGACGGCACCTCTTAACAGTCTTAATTGTCTTAGGGAGATACACAAAACATGCATTAAACAGCTGGTGACCCAAAAAAAATCTTAAAATAGATTGCCAGCTTATGAGCTTTAAGCTCCAATATTTAGATAAATGCAAATCTGTGGTGGAATTGGCACTGCCTCACTGATTATTTGCAGCAGGATGTAAAGTTGCCCAGTCCTGTGTCATCCTTGTTATCACCAGGATGTATAAGTATGTTGTTATGTGACTATTGCGCTGATCCACCTCACCAAGGTTCTCCTTCTCCCTTGCTGGCCATAACACCTACACACAAGGAAATCACAGAAGGAGTTTGATAGCTTCAGGAATGACTTCATGGAAAGGTAGTGAGTGGAGGATGAAAATGAGTCTATTTGGAATGAGTGAGCAGAGTCGTACAAGGTTAGAGTGAGCTTTCTAGACACCTCTCTTGGAGATTCTGGATTAAGAACTAATGGGAAATAAGATTAGATACAGAAGAGTAAGTAACTCTCATAAATACAGTAAGAGGAACTGTGAATGCTTAAAAATGCAGTCCTCTCAAAGATAGTTCAAATGTCCTTGTGTGATCTTTTTCTGACAAAGTTTAACATATTGCTGTTCATTTTCCAGAGAGATTCAATTTGACTTGTTTTAGAACTCTCTTTTAGTAGGTTCATATAGTAACACCACATTCAGTTGTGGGGAAGGGAAGACCACTAACACATACCGTTTTATGTATTTATAGACAATGCGGATAGCAGTACGCTGCATGCTGTAACCTTCCTTCGAACTCCTGAGATCCTCACGGTAAATTCAATTGGACAGTTGAAAATATGGGATTTCAGACAACCAGGAAATGAACCCTCTCAGATATTATCACTGTAAGTTTTGATTCTTAGTTTCAGTAGTGTAATACAAAATTATTTGCTTGGTTGTAACAACTTATTTTAAACAATGTTACATTTGATAAAGCAAGTGTAACTTGATGAACTGATTCTACCATACTGGCATAGTAAATATTTGTTGCATTGATTCAGAGCCTTTACCACTCTATTTTATTTGAGTACTTACTTCTACTTGTTAAGTGAATCTGTCGATGCTTTGCTGTATGCCATCATGTCGGAACTGACTCATAGGTGACCCTCCAGCAGGTTTTCAGAGGGAGTAAATGACACGGGGATATTACCCAGCCTTCTTCCATGGAATGGCTGATGGATTCGAGCTGCATGCCTTTAAGTTGGCAGTGTAACTCCTTACCACGAGGTCACCAGTTGATAGTGGGTATAATACACTCTACTTGTGATTGGGAGAAAAAACATCCAAGATTATTTTCCGAGCAGACTTTTCTTTTCTGTGCCTGCAATCTCTTTTTCTGTATTAGAAAATACAGTGTCAAATTCAAAGATGCTTTTAACTGTATATTAAATAAGAGAGGAGTAAAATCTATTTTGTATAGTTGATAAATAATGCTTTAAGAAGTGAAAAACTGAAATGTACTTGTCTGATTTTACCATCAGATTATATTCCTTCTCATGTCTCCAGATTGAAAAGATGAATGATACTGGCCTTTAATTTAAAAAAATTCTAGACTTTTGAGAAGCTCATTGCCTAGGTCCTTTAATTACTGATATGTCAACTCAAAAGGGCCTAGTTTAAGGAATGATGAGGAACCTCAGTTGTCTTTTGGGAAGAATTGGAAGTTTCACTTGAGATGGGCGTCATGCTTGGGAGGGTGGAGGGACAGTGCAGGAGAGGAAGACCCTCTATGAGATGGATTGATTCGGTGACTGGGGTAATCGGGATGGGTGTGTCAGAGGCAGTGCGATTGGCACAGGATAGAGCAGGGTTTAGGGCTGTTGCACATAGGGTCGCTTTGAGTCACAGGTGACTCGACAGCACATAACCACAGCAACCACAATAGTGGCAAGAAGCTGCCCTGCAATCTCGAAGGTGCACACTTTGAGACCACCAGCTGCTATGCGGGAAAGGATGGGCAGGCAGTCTCCTCCTGGGTGATTAACTGCCTCTGAAAACCCACCAGAGGGTCCGCTGTGGGTTGGTTCCGACTCTGTGGTACACAGTCAAAACAACATACATAACCTAGCAGTTGACTTTAAGTGTTAAGTACTTGGTAGTAGTAAAATTTCTAAAATAAAGATGATGTTTTCTTAAAAAAAAAGAAAAATACTAGATATTTAGAAAAATATTTTTTGAACATGCTTAAAGTTCAACCCATAGTTTTGTTTACAAAATTATTATTTAGTTACTAAGATAAAGCCTGTTTCTGAGATTATACAGAAATAAAATCTTTGATGCCACAAGGAAGCTCAGGTGACCTAGTAGGAAGAAGCTGTGCTGCAGCCCAGAGGCATGGGGTTCAAAGCCACCCAACTGCTCCACAGGGAAAAAAAGATGGACTATTTCCTCCCACGCAATTTATTGCCTCTAGAAAAGGAGGATCAGCTATGAGTCAGTTTCAACTCGACAGCACACAACAAAAACATGATGCTAAAAATTTGATGTTGTTTTGTCTTCCCTAAAAGGACTGGTGACCGAGTTCCCCTCCACTGTGTTGATCGACATCCCAACCAGCAACACGTCGTAGCTACTGGTGGCCAGGACGGGATGTTGAGCATTTGGGATGTGAGACTCGGTACCATGCCCGTGTCTCTGCTGAAGGCTCATGAAGCTGAAAGTAAGTGGTGCGGAGCCACATGGATTTTGCTGGGGGATATCTAGAATGTGTTCACTGGAGGCACTTTTCCATAACAATGTGTATAGACCATTTTCCCTAATTTTTGATAGTTGAAAACTGTATAAATTTGCAATAATTAATTCCTTTTTAATGGGCGTTTAAAATCTTTAGATTGTTTCATTATTTTATCTAGAACTGCAGGGAATATCCTTGTATAGTCACTTTGGTACACTTAATTTTTAGACACAAAATTGACAGACCAGTAATTCGCATTATTCTAAAACTGTGATGTGCGCTGTAAAATTGTTGAACATAAAAATGATACTGCCAAAAAAAAAAAGATATTGCCAGCGAGCTCTGGTGGCCTAGTGGCAAGAAGCTGCACTGCAATCCTGGAGGTGCATGGTTCAAATCCACCAGATGCTCTTTTGGAGAAGGAGGGACAGTCTCCTCTTGTACCAGTCAGATCTGATTTGACGATACACACACAAAAAATAATAAGAAAAATTTAAAAAAAAGAAAGATATTGCCATACCCATGGAGGCAAAGGCCATTATTACTCCTACTTGTTAATCTGTTGTGTTCAGTTTAACATCATATCTAACCTTGTCCCCCCCAAATAAAAAAAGTAGGTATATAGACCGTTGTCTAATTTTTTGTGAGGGTTTTGTTTTGTTTTGGTTTTGTGGTGTTTTTGTTTTGTTTTGTTTTGCCTGTGGATTTTTTTTTTGAAGGTTTGGACTGGACGGGATTATCTCATTTTAGCACGTCTGTTATGCCATATTCTGATTTTAGAGGCATTTGTTTTAAGCTCCACTTGAAGGAAAGTACAAAATATGAAACATTGAGGCGTATCGTCCATGTTTTCTTTCAAGGAAGGAAGTCTGCCCTTTGGGGATATAATTTGTAATAAATCGATATTTACTATATTACCTTCAAAAAACCCGAAAACATCATAATGAGTAAAAAAAAAAAAGAAGGTTTAAACCAAAATTGGGACTTTTTGCATAAGTTTCACATTATTAACCTTAGAAAAAATGAGATTATATTATATACATGAGTCAAACGAAATAAAAAGCTACAAAACTGTTTGTCTCTCTGGTACACCTGGCCAAAAAATAGAAATAGTGTACGCCCTACGATTTGGATGTTGACATGCCAGTGGTTGTGGAAATTAGACTTTTAGATCTCTTACCAGCCTCCTTTTAACTACAAGCCTGTACACACAGACCACACAGAATAGTGCTTTGGCCTGTGGCTAGAAATGAGCTGAGGTTTTGTTTTGGGGTGTGTTTTTTTTTTTTGTTGTTGTTGGGGTTTTGTTTTGTTTTTTTTTTTAATTGGAGTTTCATAGTTTGAAAACAAATAAATGAATATCTAAATTCTACCAAGCTGGTTTTGGTTTTTTCTAATGAAACAGCGTGAATGCACTTTACTCAGGGACTCAACCAGAACTCTCTTCCTGAAGATGATCGCCTTTGTTTTTTGTCATGATACTTGATTATAGTTCATTAGAATAAAAGTCACCACCTGTAAGCACGTAAAGTCACTTGGTAGACCATACCTCAGCTAATTTTTGTGCTGATTCTGTAAGATTACCTAGCCTAGAATCATGGCAGCTTTATTCACTGACAACCTGTTTTTTCTGGCTAGTCAGTGGCTCCCAAGCATCTGCTGGCACACAAAGTTGCCTTAAAAGTTTAGTGCTTGAGAGGATACCATCTCCACTTTAGCTTCTTAAAAGCCCTTGATCTGAAACTAGATCCAGATTCTTGGTGCATTTCCAGCCTATTTCTGTAATATAGGCCAGTACCCAGAGTCCTGGTGTGAGCTTTAATTGGACTTTGCCTCTTAGAAATTCATTAATATATTCCTTTTATGGGCTTCTCACAGACTATTCAATAATATAACCTTCATACATTAATGACATTGGAATTAAGAGTGATCGACTCAATTTTTAATAAATCTTCCTCAGAATTGTCTTCCTAATTTTCTATTTTTAAAAAAGTAATAGATCAAATATTAGCAGTTATTTTCATTCTTTTTCCTGGTCTAATGGCACAAATAGACTTACTTTATTTCTTTATTCTGTCTGTATGTAATAGCCATTTGGAGAATTATAGTGTCTTTCTTTAGTTCTGAACCTTTTCATTTTTGTAACACACTTAGAATATGAAGGTAGGTCATGAAAGTAATAGGTTTATTGTTGTCTTTTGAGCTAATCTCCATAGGAGTAAATGCCACTGTTCCTGTTTTTCAGTGTGGGAAGTTCGCTTCCACCCCTCCGATCCAGATCATTTGTTTACCTGTTCTGAAGATGGCTCCCTCTGGCACTGGAATGCTTCTGCAAATGTACCTGAAAAATCTTCGCTCTTTCACCAAGGTAAAAAGTTTTGATGAAAATTCATCAGTATGATTGTAATAACATTTTTAAATATGAAACTAAAAGTTCCCATACCTTTTTTATTTGTTTTAATTGGTTTTTGTACAGTCTTTCGTATGCATTTTGATTTATTCATATTGTTGTGTTTGTTGTTATGTGCTGTCGAGTCATTTGCGACTCATAGCGACCCTATGTACAACAGCCCTAAACCCTGCTCTATCCTGTGCCAATCTCACTGCCTCTGACACACCCATCCCGAGTACCCCAGTCACTGAATCAATCCACCTCATAGAGGGTCTTCCCCTCCTGCGCTGTCCCTCTACTCTACCCAGCATAATGTCCCTCTCTAAAGACCTGTCTCTCCTTACAACATGTCCAAAGTATGTCAGACGAAGCCCCAGAATCCTTGCCTCCAAGGAGCAGCCTGCTTTAATCCTCTCTAGGATGAATCTGTTTTCTTGGCAGTCCATGGTACATTCAGTACTCTTCTCCAGCACCACAGCTCAAAGGCGTCAATTCTCCTTCTATCCTCCCTAGTCATTGTCCAACTCTTTGATGCATAACAAGTGATTGCAAAAACCATGGCCTGTATCAAGTGCACCTTAGTCTCCAGAGAGACACCGTTGCTCTTGAGTATTTTTGAGAGGTCCCTAACTGCACACTTTCCCATCACAATACGTTTTTTTATTTCCTGGCTACTGGTGCCAAGAGTGTTGACCGTGGAGCCTAGCAAACTGAAGCTGTGAACAATCTCAAGCTCTTCGCCATCCATCCTGATGCTACCGATTAGTCCAGTGGTGAGAATTTTTGTCTTCTTGACATTGAGCCTCAGTCCATATTGAAGGCTGCAGTGAATTATGATTTAAATTAACTGTCAGAACCCCAGTGCAGTAAGAAGTCACTTCTCTCTCCTCTATTTTCTTCTCGGCCACCAGCACCTCCCAGTAGTAGAGCACCTCAAAAAGTTGGAAAGGGAATGGCAAACAAAAGGGAGAACTAACAGGACCAAATATAGTGGCAATCCCGGAGAAGAGTATAGCAGAAATATACTCCCCAGAACAATGAAACATATGAAACCACAATGGAAGTGTATGCCCAGGAACACGGCTCAGAAGGCAGGAAAGATATAGGGATGAGAAACCCAGGGAGAATGTGGGGAAAGGGGGCCCACAAATGGCTGCCCCAGACACAGTACACAGGACCTGGACTGGTCCTGAAGGGGCATGTCAGTAGCTGGGCTTGGGAGGCTCCACGCAGCACCATCTAGACACAGGGTGCCAGGAAGCTCAGAAGGCTGGCATCTCCGGGGAGCAGAGAGGTGAGAATGGGCAGGAGTCACTGGAGGCCAGAGCCAACATCTTAGGGATGAGAGGCCTTACCTAGCAGCCACTCACACTGAGGAGAGGCCAGAGAAGGGGACCAAGCCCGAATTTATCTGTCAGTATTGTATTGAGGTGGTGTCTTTACTTATTGATGCTCTTGATAGCTTAGATAGGTATATGTTTGCTTGTATGTCATCTGCTCTTTTGGGTAAGATGCTTCTCTGTCAGATACTGTAGTAAAGCAGAGCTCCAAATTAAGACAGACTAAGAAGAAGGAATGGCATCCACTATAAAATAACTGACCTTCAAAAATCATAACAATAGAGCACACTTAAACTCTTAGATACAGTGCTGGAGACTGAGCCCTCATATTGGGAAACACAAAAATAAGGAAGAAGAGTTGCAAACAGCCAAAATTAATTGGAATATGGAATGTACAAAGTATGAATGGACATTGGAAACTGTTAAAAAAAGAAGTGAAACACATATTGCCTACTAGGCCTTGGGGAGCTGAGATGGATTACATGGGCCACTTTAAATCAGTCAAATGATCTACTTCACCAGACATGAAAAAGTGAGGGAAAATGGGGTTACATTCATAGTCAAAAAGGCCATTTCTCGATTTGTCCTGAACTACAAAGTTGTGAGTTACACACCATCCACACACATACAAGGGAAACCTGTTAATACCACTATTATTCAAAGACACCAACAACTAGAGCCATAGAAGAGGAAATAGAAGATTTTTACTAACTTTCATAATATGAAATAGATTGGACATGCAACTAAGATTCATTAATAATAATTGGTGACTGTTGTTGTTATGTGTCGTCTATTCCCTTGTGACTCACAGCAACCCTAGATGTACAACAGCCCTAAACTCTGTCCTGTGCCAGTCGCACTGTCTCTGATACATCCATCCCAATTACCCCAGTCACTGAATCAATCCATCTCATAGAGGGCCTTCCCCTCCTGAGCTGTCCCTCCACCCTACCAAGCATGATGTCCCTCTCCAAAGACCACTCTCTCCTTACAACATAACCAAAGTATGTTAGATGAAGCCTCAGAATCCTTGCCTCCAAGGAGCCGCCCGATTTAACCCTTTCCAGGATGAATCTGTTTGTTTCCCTAGCAGTCCGTGGTACCCTCAATACTCTTTTCCAGCACCACAGCTCAAAGGCATCAGTTCTCCTTCTGTCCTCCTTAGTCACTGTCCAACTCTCTGATGTGTAACAAGTGATAGCAAAGACCATGGCCTGTATCAGACGCACCTTAGTCTCCAGAGAGACACCACTGCTCTTTAGTACTTTGGAAAGGTCCCTAACAGCAGACTTTCCCATCGCAATACATCTTTTAATTTCCTGGCTACTGGTGCCAAAAGTGTTGACCGTGGAGCCAAGCAAACTAAAGCTGTGAACAATCTCAATCTCTTCACCATCCATCCTGATGCTGCCAATTGGTCCAGTGGTGAGAATCTGTCTTCTTGACACTGAGCCTCAATCCATATTGAAGGCTGCAGTCCTTGATTCTCTGCAACAAGCGCTTTAGGTCCTCCACAGTTTCAACAAGGAGGGTTTTGTCATCTACATAACTCAGAATGGGAAACAAGGAAAAAGGATCAGTAGTTGGAAAATAGGGATATCTGGTAGCCTAATGATAAGAAGCTGGGCTACAATCCTAAAGGCATATGGTTCAAATCCACCGACTGCTCCATGAAAGAAAGGTGAGAATTCTCTTCCCATACAATTAACAGCCTCTGAAAACCATAGAAGGTCCTCTATGGGTTGGTTCTGACTCGACTGTATACAAGAACAGTTGGAAAATATGGACTTAGTGATAGCTATGAGGCTGGAGATGAGAGTGATAGAATTTTATAAAGCAATGATTTATTCATTGAAATAAAAACACAAATGGCAACTATACACATGGACCTCACCAGATAAGCAATTTGATTGCATCTATGGAAAGAATTATTGGAGAAGCTCAGTATTAGCCATGAAAAACAGGGCAGGTGCTGGCTATGGAACAGACCATCAACAGCTACTCATGTGCAAGTTCAAATTGAACCAAAATGTGATCTTGAGTCTATCCCACCTCATTTAAAAACCATCTCAGAAACAAGTTCTAGGCCTTAAATACTAATGAATGAAAACCAGATGAACTGTGGGAGGATATCAAGAACATCATCTATGAAGAAAACAAAAGGTCATTAGAGAGAGAGGAGGAAGAAAAGAGAGATGGATGTTGGAAGAAACTCTGAATATTTCATTGGAATACCTAGAAGCTAAAGCAAAAGGGAGAAATCAGGAAATTAAAGAGTTTAACAGAAGATTTCAAAGGGCAGCTTGGGAAGAAAAAGCAAAAGTATTATAATGAAATGTGCAATGAGCTGGAACCAGAATATCAAAAGGATGAACTCACTCAGCATTTCTGAAGGAAATTTCAGCTAAAGGAACTGAAGAAGAAATTCAAGCCTCAAGTTGCATGCAATACTTAAAGTTGCTATGGGCAAAATATTGAATAATCCAGGAAGCATCAAAAGAAGATGGAAGGAATACAGAATCACTGTCCCCAAAAGAGTTTCCTGACGTAAAAAATTTCATGAAGTAGCATATGATTAAGAACCAGTGGTAATAAAGGCGGAAGTTCAAACTGAATTGGCAAAAAATAAGGCCCAAGGAATTGATGTCATACCAGTTGACTTACTTCAACAAACAGATGCAGCCCTGGTTGTGCTCACCAGGTCGTGCCAAGAAACCTGGAGGTCAGCTACCTGGCCAGCTGATCGGAACACATCATATTTAATCCCATTCCCTAAAACGGTGATTTAACAGTATGAAAATATTCAAACAAGCTCATTAATGCCACATATAAGCAAAATCTTGCTGAAGATTATCGAAAGATTACTAGAACAATACACCAGCAGAGAACTGCCAGAAATAAAAGCTAGGTTTAGAAGAGATCATGACCATAGGGATGTCATTGCCAATGTCAGATGGATCTTGGTTAAAAGCAGAGAGTACCAGAAGGAGGTCTATTTGTGTTTTATCAACTTTGAAGGCATTTGACAGTATAAATCACAGCAAAATGTGGCTAACATTGAGAAGAACGGGAATCTCAGAACACTTGATTTTGCTTATGCAAAACCTGTACTTAGACCAGTAAGCTGTTATATGAACAGAGTAAGGGAATACTGCATGGTTCAAAATCAAGAAAGGAGTGGATCAAGGATATATCCTTTCTCTATACCTTGTCAGTCTATATGTGGAACAGATCATTTAGGAGGATGGACTTTACAAAGAAGAATATGACTTCAAAATTGGAGGAAGACTCATCATCAACCTGCATTATGCAGATGACACACCTTGTTCGCTGAAACTGAGAAGGACTTGAAGTGTTTACTGCAGAAGGTCAAGTATCAGTCTCTAAAGTGACTTGCCTCTCAACATTAAGAAAACAAAAATTCTCACCACTGGGCCAACTAGGAGCATCATGATAAAGAAGAGAAGAGATTGAGATTGTTTAACATTTCAACGTGCTTGGAATCACAATCAGCACTCTTGGCACCAGCCGTCAGGAAATCAAAAGACTAGTTGCTTTAGGAAAGTCTGCTGTCAGGGACTTCTCCAGAGTGCTAAAGAGCAATGATGTCAGCCTAGAGACGGAGGTGTTCCTAATTCAGATCATGGTCTTCTCACTTGCTTGCGATGCATCTAAGACAGTGAATAAGGATGACAGAAGAAGAATTGATGCCTTTGAGCTGTAGTGCTGCAGGTTAGAACAGGGTTCAAGTCTTTTATTCATAGGGTCACTATGAGTCGAAGGCATCTAACAACAACTACTGTATATTTTAAATGGTGCACAGGACAGAGCAGAGTTTAGGGCTATTGTACATAGGGTCGCTATGAGTCGCAAGCGACTCGACGCCACATAACAACAATAACGACATACCAACTTGTTATTCTTAGAGAATAAGTTTCTATCATTACCTATTAAAAATATCTGGAATTGTGGAAGCATGCATACTGGGATAATGTAGCATCAGGATTGGAGGAAGACTCAATCAGTACTCTTTGTTATGTAGATGACACAACATTGCTGAAAGTGAGGAGAACTTGAAACACTTGCTGCAGAAGATCAAACACAGCAGCCTTTAATATGGATTACATCTCAACATCAAGGAAACAGAAATTCTCACCATTAGACCAATTAGGCAACATCATGATAGATGGAGAAAAGATTGAAACTGTCAACAATTTCATCTTACTTTTAATCCACAATTGGTATGCTTTGTACCAGCAGTTGGGAGATGTATTGTACTAGGAAAGCTTGCTGTCAGTGTTAGTTTGAGGACTACGATGCACCTGATACAGGCCATGGTCTTTTTCAGTTGCTTGCTATGCTACTGAAAGCAGGACCATGCATAAGGATGTTGTTGTTGTTGTTGTTGTTGTGTGCCGTCGAGTTGCTTGTGACTCATAGTGACCCTATGTACAACAGCCCTACACCCTGCTCTATCCCGTGCCAATCACACTGTCTCTGACACACCCATCCCGAGTACCCCAGTCACTGAATCAGTCCACCTCATAGAGGGTCTTCCCCTCCTGCGCCGTCCTCCACCCTCCCAAGCATGATGTCCCTCTCCAAGGACCTGTCAAGAAAAATTAATGCCTTTGAGCTGTGGTGTTGGAGAAGAGTACTGAATATCCCATTGACTGCCTAAAGAACAAACAGGTATGTCTTTGAGAAGGTACACCAAAGTGCTCCTTGAAGGCACGGATGATGAAGCTTCACCTCACATACTTTAGGCATGTTGCTAGGAAATGCTATTTCTTGGAGAAGAACATTATGCTTGGAAAGGGGGAAGGGAACAAAGGAGAAGACGACACTCAACCCCAGTGGATTGACACGGTGACTGCAGCATTGAACTTGAGTGTATCAGAGATTGTGAAGTTGGCATAGGATAGGACAGGGTTCACATCTGTTGTTCATAGGGTCACAATCAGTCATACTCGACTCAACAGCACCTAAAAACACCTAAATAAAATTAGTTTTAAAAGTATTTGTTTCTCTCTTTTCTCCCAGGAGGAAGAAACAGTACTTTTTTTTCTCACAGCCTTAGCGGCCAGGCTAATGCTAACCAGCCTCTGCTAAGTTCCTGGCTCAGCACTGATCCTGCCAAAGACCGGATTGAAATCACAAGCTTGCTTTCCAATAATATTCTGCCTGTGAACAGCATGGATGTTTCGGGTTCCTGCCTGGTGTGTGGAACTGATGCAGAAGCAATTTATGTCACTAGACAACTTTTTTCATGAAAATACCATTGTGATACAATTGCGGATAAAGCATGGAGTTTACCTTTTGAATTTGAGTGTCTATGCAAATTGTATCATTGAAAACGTTAAAATTTGCAGTAGAAACATCAGTAAATTATTAATATTGATGCTCAAAATTAGCTAACTCTGGTTAACTGGATATTCTTGTAAAACATTTTCAGAATCTAAATGCCTGATAACAAGAGATTGAAGGGTTGAAACAAAATCAGAGACTTCCTTGTACTATGAAATACTCTGCTTTTTAACAGCCTCTAAGTAACAGCTCATTAAACCATGTTTTCACTTTTACTGTTGAAGGACTTAACACTGTCAGACTATCAAATGGTGTGTAGGATTACTTCTCCTTGATGGCATTCTCCATTGTTAATATTCTCTTTATTATGAGTATTAATAATTTTAATAACCTCTTAAAAAATAGAGAACTAAAATTACAAATTTAGTAGTAGTCATATTTAAAACTTTTTAAATGTGATCATGTTTTGATATATTCCCTTATAATAAATTTGAACAAAACTTTTTTTGTGTGTGTGTGTGTGAAAAAACTTTTTCTTTAGAATTAGCCTGCTGGGCTCAGTTTAGATGATTCCAATTTTATTACCAGTACTTTGTGAACTTGTTAGACCCAAATTTGTCTTAGAACAAAAGAAAAATTTTTTCTTCCTTTTCTTCACACATAACTGAAAACTATTAGACAAGACTTTGTAGTATAACAGATCGTAACTGAGTTTCACGTTGCTTGACACACATGAACTGACTTCTAGACTATTAAAAGAATGTATGAGAATAGTGATGGCTTGAGTAAGATTAGAAAAAATCTTTCTTACCAGGAATATTGATAACATCCTGTCATGTTCTCAGGAAGTTTCATGACATTATCTTTCCAATACCTATTAGATTAAATATACTATTGAACTCTTAAGATCTTGATGACAAATCACTGCTGTTACATACTTGAAATATATATTGATTTGCTTTATGTTTCTAATCATAGTACTTGTAAGGAAGTTTTGCTTTTCTGTCCTAATAAGTACTTTGGTGATTTCAAATTTATTATTCTTATCTCAAGTTTTGGGGTTTTTTCATTGGTCAGAACTTGGAAATAGAATGTATTTGAGCATTGCTTTTTTTTTTAATTACACTTGTGGCAAGAGTTATTATCAAACTCCACTTACCAGGCCCTTGTTAGCGAAAAACTTGCCTCTCATGTAGCACACTAATGAGCATCGCTTTCTTAATATATGTATTTGGCTTAATAATATTTGATTGAAGATAATTAGTAATTTTGAATTCCAAAGACTTTGAGAAGAAAAGAAAATGTTACTGGTATGAATTTTTAAAATCTGTTTATACTATACTTTCGTTGCTAGGGTTAGTGTTTAAAGATTTGTTATTACAAAAGAAACTTACCATAGAAAATAGAAGAAATTTTTTGGCTACATATGATCTCTCAAAAATAATGTCTTTTCAGATCCTTTATATGCATCATGGCATAAAACTTCTTATAAAATGTATCATCTTATTTTGTATTTGTAAATGTTTTTCTGTATACTAATGTGTATAAAGTTTTGTAAAAATTTATATGCATCATTTGTAACACATTATACAATAAATACATTATTCTATTATTGCTTAATACTCTTAAGGTATATCATATTTTGGGTATTTCACACTTTCGCTGTTTTAGTGCTATAATGTCTGTTGTTGATTGCTGTCAATGCCTTTCCATAACTCGTCATTTCACCAAGTTCATAGAGTTTCCAGAGGCATGTGGTTTAGGAAATGAATGCCACTCCTGCTTCCTAACCTATTTTACAGCTGGGAGCTCCACCAAACACTGTCCACATTTGGAAGCCAATCTGGTATTTGATACCCCAGTGGTACCATGGTTCAGCATCAAAGCAACCCAGGTTACTTCATACTGTACATTGAAAAAGAGTGATGTACAAATGCTCAAAATCCCTAGCCCTAAGAGAGATGCATATTAAAACAACTATGAGATATCATCTCACCCCAGTCAAAATAGCAAAATTTAACAGAACAGCAAGCAACAAATGCTGGCGAGGTTGTGGAGAAACTGGAACCCTGATTCATGTTGGTGGGAGTGTAAAATGGTGCAACCCCTGTGGAAAGCAGTATGGTGCTTTCTCAAAAAGTTGCAAATAGAGATACCATTTGACCCAGCAATTCCACTACTGGGAATATACCCTGAAGAGACCATAGCTGACATCCAAGCAGATATATGCACACCCATGTTCATTGCAGCTTTGTTCACAATAGCAAGGAGTTGGAAACAACCTAAGTGCCCATCAACAAACGAATGGCTAGAGAAGCTGTGGTATATTCGCACAATGGAATACTATGCTGCATTAAAAAACAAGGAACTCATGCAATATTATTCAAAATGGTTGACTCTGGAGAACATTATGCTGAGTGAAATATCCCAGTCACAAAAGGACAAATATTACATGATGCCACTGTTGTAGAATGGGACTGTCCTTGGGGCTGGGGAGAGACTGAGTAAGATGGGTTCAATAATGTGTACTGCACTGAAACAGAGGAGGGAGAGAACCGTCTAAAAGAGAGATGTAACTGGGTATTTCTGTCATCACAGGAGACTAGAGCGAGGGCTGCATGGTGGAGGGGACCTGGGGGAGGGTTTGTAAAACAATGAAAGAATCTTTTCTTTTACTTTTCCATAATTTTTGGACTCATGTACTTATAACTTGTTAGTCAAATTTGTGTCTTCTAGGTTGCAACACCCCCATGATACATCTTGAAGGATATGTACATGTACAGCCAAGCACAATCAATAAGAGTGCATCTGAATTCCAAAATCAATCTCCATAATAGTCTATGTGTTTCCTACTGCCAAAGGGGCCCTTTAGAGTAGTGAGAGAAGATCTTCACCCTGAAACCCACAGCGTCCCTTTTCAGCAGGAAGTAGCTAAGAGAATACGCCGTCCCCTTTTCCTTATGACTCAGGGTGAAGTCTCTCTCAGGGAGGAGTGATAGGGAATGGCAAAGGACACACTGACAAAGAAGATTAATCAGAACTGGCTTTGACAAGCACTGTGGCATTTGGACAAGAACAAACTGGGAGGAGGGTAGAGAAAATAGTGCAACAATGAATGAGTGGAAGCCCAAAATCTCTGTAAATGTTTATGAAAATTAATAAAATATAATTATAGAAAAAAAATAAAAATAAAAACTTGGAGAAATGATGAACATTAAAAAAAAAAAAGAGTGATGTACAAAGTGGAAGCGTGGTCCTCCATAAAACAGCACGAGGTTCACTTAGCAGTGCTTAAGTGTTGTCAAGTCGAATATGACTGAGTAAGTTTTGCACAAAAGACCTAAACTCTGTTCGATGACTAACATCATTTTTACCATCATTTCTTTACATTTGTAGAGTTTCCAGAGCTATCTAGTTTAGGAAGTGGACGCCACTGCTGCTTCTCAGCATAAATCAATCTGGAAGCTCATCCAAACACTGTACATTATGGTATTTGACAAGACTCTGGAACAGTGTGCAGCATCACAACAACACTAAGATGTTCAGCAAATAGGAAAAGATTGCTGTGTCATTCAAGGAATAATCATTCAAAAATTTAATAAATTTGGCCCGAGGGCCACAAACACACAACCACAAAAACTTCCTTTGACTTGCCTATCTGGACCCCCAGGCACAAGCAACAAGAAGCCACAGACTTCCAGAGTGGAGTCACCCAAGAAGCTGGCCACATTCTCTTCCCCTCCCCCTGCAGGGTTTTAAGCCATAGCCTTTGAGCAGCCTTAAACCCTAGGCAAAGCCTCAAGGACCCCACTCTTGGGGTGAAAGAGCAGTACTACACATCAAACATGAGCCCCCAAAAGCACACGACCTCAAAAACTTCCTTACCCGTCTGGACCACCATACACAAGCAGCTAGAAGCCACAGTGGAATGTCTACTGAATTTGAATTTCTTTATAAACTGTTTATATTTGCAATAGTTTTATTTTAAATTTAATAAAATTAAAAGAGAACTAAAAGAAAATAAATTTTTAAAAATAATTAGTATTTTCTTTTTGCCTTTGTTTTTCATTTTATCTTTTCACTTTTTTCATGGTCCATTCTATAAAATTGTTATTTTGTATGTGGTCAAATCTATTGATTTCTTCCCAATTATGCATTTATATAAATGCTAATCTAGAAGTCCTTCAGTTTTTGTTTAATGTTTTATAGACAGTAATTAAATTTGAAATATAATTATTTAATACAGCTGAATTTTAAAAAGCTTTTCATGCATGAACTGTTCTAGAATATCGTAATGAGCATACAGTGCGATGAGTAACTTGATGTGACACTTCTAACCGCCGTCTTTGTAACGCTCACCACATGATTGAGATTCAAATGTAAGGTGTTTTGTGACCAATGGGGATTACATTGCTTCTTAAATTGCAAGCAGAGTGTATGAAAGACTAACATCAAGATGGGCCAGTTTTACCATGCAGCCTGGCTTAAAATGAGCCATCCCAGTGCAAAAATAGAGATCATTCTACAATCAAGAAACAGCCAAGAGCCCAGTGTGTCCTTTGAACCCAAGATACTGAAATGCCCTCATCCAGGAGACAGAACTGTAACATCAGAGAGATGGCACAAGACAGACACATAGAGGTTAAGGGACAGTGGTAACAGAAGTGTCAAGACCAGGAGACTGACAAACAGTGGAGCCCTGGCTTCCCGTTGTGGAAAGCTGAGTACCTTGGTGTGGGAGGTCGATGGAGTGGTTATAATTTAAAAAGCTTTGATATTCTTCCTGGAGCAAGATGGGCAAAGGCCAAGCAAGAGGCTGAGGGAACTATAGAATCCTGCCTTAGGGTCCAACTGAGGGGAGACTGCCCTGACAGGATAACTGGCTCCTGAGTCATTCGTGATTGTAAATTACAGTCTTTTAGTTCTCTAATGGACTCCATTATAATGAATATTTGTCTGTGAGTTC